TCAATGTGACTGGGTATGTACTCTCTGGTGATTTTACTTTATGTGTTGGTAGAACTTGGAAAATCTAGAGGAATGAAGAGATAACAAAACACATACTAGTCCAAAAAACCATGACAGGTTTTCTGCTATCGTGGAGCTTACATTCGTGTGTTGGTGTGTGTTTGTGTGTGTGTAGGTGTGTGTAGGAAGGGCAATGGCCCTGTTGACTCATATGAAGGTACCCATTTTTCCAACTAAGACACAAGAATTTTCTACATTTCCCCTTTCCGGACTTTGTCTTGCCCATTGTCTTGTCATTGTAGAATGTGTACTAGTACACATATCAAAGGCAGGGACTTCATTTATGGCCATTCTGGGTGCTGTTTAGTTTTGGTGTATTTATATTTATATTTATATTTATATTTATATTTATATTTATATTTATATTTATATTCTGTGCCTCCTTCTTTCTTAGATGTAGGTCCTTTATGAAGTGACTGTGGTAGAACAACTGTCATTCATGCATGCACATTGGCCAGATCCCACTGGAGGGGTAGGGGCAAGCCCCAATGGTATATAACCAAAGTGAGCCAAGTAGAATTGTGACAAATGTTTACAAGGAGGGATAAGGCAATGAAATCTCTTTAGGAAGCAGACATCCGAGAGGCATATGGACTGACTCTAGGAGGGCCGAGAAACTCCATGGGGCTGGGAGTCAAGGTGTAGCAGTTCAACTCCAAGATGCAGATTTTTGTGACGATGCAGAACTGAGGAGCACTGTTGCACTGGGACTGGGGGCAAGAAGTAGGGTACGGGTACTCAGATGATGATTTTTCCTGGGAACCAAAGGATAAGTCTGGGTTTGGCTAAAGATCACTTTGTTCTGCATCCTTTATTCATTCTCTTCCTGAAACCTGCATAGGACGTACTCAAGAGGTTTGATAGTGCCAAGAGTGACTGCAGAAAAAGGAGGACAGAGAGAGAGAGTCAGTGGAGAACAACCTTAGACATTTTAGTGGATGGAAAAGAGTTCACCTGCCTCATGTCCCTATTCCAGCACCTCCTCCCGTAGCACAGGTGCTTGAGAAACCATGCAGGCCAAGGGCTGCTTCAGGCGGAGGATGGTTGGGTTAGAGGGCTTTCCCACCTGGTGGGCTCTTTGTTCTTGAAGATATAGCTCCTCTGTCCGCACTTACTGGAAGATGTAGAGTGTTTTGCAGGGCAAGCTCAGAGTCCTCCAGACCTCAGTTCATACCCCAGCTCCATCCCCAACTGCGTTGACCTTTGGCCTCTTGCTTAGTGCTCCAAGCTGCAGATCCTTTATGAGAAATAGGGGCCATAGAGTATTTAACACATAGGGCTATTATGAGAATTAAACACAATCCTGTAGCCCTTTGTACACTAGTAAAATGTATGTAATTGCAATTTTTTTTTTAAATGCAATGATCTCTCTTCATAGACAGAGCGCTCCTTTAAGACAGGGTAAGGTTTTTTTGTTTTGTTTTTTTTTTTCCTTTTTCTTTTTGTCCCAAGTGCTTAATATCTAGTACCCAACAAAGCCCTTAATGCTCTTAGTTAGGTCTTTTTTCTTTTCATTTTTATATCCCAAGTGCTTAATATCTAGCACCCAACAAAGCCCTTAATGCTGTTAGTTAAGTAAAATCAGATCATATATCTCTGGCTGGAATTTCCAGAAAGTAGGTTGTCAGGTTCAACAAGAAACCATGAAGACTTAGCAAAATCGCTTCTCCTCTGGTTACTTCTCTTCATTGCAGGCCCTGAAGTCATAATGCTGCGCAGACGTGTCTGACTTGAAGGGAGACTTCTGCTTTTCTGTCTAGAAAATAGGAGCCACATTCAGTTGCCTATTTTAATGGCAGACTAGCCGCCCCCCCCCCCACTTATGTGCTCTCTCGCTGCGTGTGCACTAAACAGCTTCACTCTGACAGTTGGCTGTCAACGGAATCTATCAATTGTTTTAGTCTCTTGTTGACCCAGCCTAACAGATCATTTCATGTCCTGTAGACCAAACAACTGATTGGTTCAATAGGGTAAAATTTAGTCAGCTTGTTTAAAAAACTTGAAATAACTGATGTAGTGACATGTTTCAAATTGCTTTATAGTCTCTAATTTGATACTGAGTCAGCTATGTTTATTTTGCTTTACAAATGTAAGGGCTCTTAAAAGGTGAAAAGTAGATCTCAACAATTATTTTACTACCAAACAACATGGGATCAGTGCTTCAGTGTGAAAATGCTGATTGTGAAATCTGTAAACACACTATTGGAGAAAAAAAAATATCATGAAATTAAGTTAAGAAAGCTAGTAATTTCTCTTTTATCATGTCACTTTTAGAGACTCTACAATATTGGAAAATATATTTCCTAAGGTTCAATTGAAGAGGATTTAATATATTTCTTGGTTTGTTAAGTCGGCCTACTCTAGGGCAAGGTTTTACAAATCCATTAGGGGTTCGGAAGAGAAAGACGGACAGAGGACCCAGATGCTTTGACGAGAGACGCAGGAATTGACATTTTGATATGTCGCATTACGTGAAATGACTTGGCAATTGGACAACAGAGTTGTCTCTTGTATTAGCACACTCAAACAGCAGCAGAAAAACAACCTTCCATTTTATTTTCATGAGATTTATTGTTTTTTAATAATGCCACTTTTCAGAAGTATAGTCATGTGCTCACTTAGACAGGCTGACAAAGTGAAAACTTGTACGTGATGCAAAGTACCCTTTGGGCCATAGATTAAGACATAGATAGTGCAGTGACAAGTCAAGTCAAACGCCCGCAGCAGACAACAAATCCCAACCTCCCCTTCCCATGATCTGGCTCCCATTTTGCACCATAGAACCCACAGTGGATATCTGGGCAAAACATAGAACACAGATGGCTACCGACAGACATGAAAAGTAAATTTTATTAAACATGTTTACATACATGAGTTGGAAGTTCATTTAAAAGCACAGGGGAGTGTTAAGACAAGTGGTCAAAATAGAAAGATACTACCCAATTATAGTTGATTGTTGGCCACTAAGACAGAACGGAATCTAGTAGAAGTGCACCAATGCTTCAGTTCTTCCTGCTCAGCATGGTGAGTAGTGGTCAGTCTGTGCCCTGTGGAATGACGGGCAGGTGAATCTGGCATGTGTAAATAATGATAAAGAATTCACTTGGTGCAGGCAGTATGTCTATGGATTAAAACCTAGTGTGTACACAGTGTCTACATGTGTTACAGCCCCACAGTTAGAATCTACACCAAAATATTTATTAGAAGGAATTTGGTCCATACTACATCACGTTTTCCAGAGGGTAAAAAATAAAGTCCATCTATAGACATTTCACCCCAGGCTCACAGATCGAGTCTGGCAGAAACCTGCAAAATGTCTATAACAAAAATGGATGGCTTAGATTTCTTGGTTATTTCAGTATAGTAATTAACGAGCAAAATGTACAAGTACATGCAACATACAAGCGGGCCTATGTGGAACTAACATACATTATTAAATAGCCTTTTGTTTCTTTTCTCTTTCATTTTTTATTTATTATTTTATTTTTTTACAAAATGTGCATGCAGCGTTGAACAGTTCCAAGTCATGCTGCTCTATCTGTGTAGTCACAAAAGTTGAATGACTCATAAAAGGAGGAGAACATGTCAATGCACCTGCAGGGTCTGCAGTATGGAACGCACACACAGAATGCCACAAGGGAAAGTCAAGGCCAAGAAAAACTCAGGTGAAGAAAATGCACATTGAAATTTGACTTTATCTCCCCCCCCCAAAAGTAAGATACTTTGCATTAAAAAAACCCCCCAAAAAACGAGCTTTGTGCTTGCATCGATCTCAAAAAAATGTAAACTAAAATTTGATGAAAACATTAGTTTAGTGCAGAATAGTTCAACTGGAATTTCCAGTGAAATACTGAACAGCTCACACCATGCTCTTTCCGGGTGGACGGGTGTGTCTGCACTGAGGCACAGCCGCGAAGCCCGGGCATAGCCGACAGTGTCTCAGGTCCAAAACCATTTTAATCACCATTTGAAGTCAAAAGTGTGGTTTGTACACATGAGCATATACTTTTTTTTATATTGGGAAGAAAAAGGCATCACAAGGAGTGTTTCCAAGGTACGATTATGCAGTTAATTTTAGTTCCCAGCATTAGTTGCAGATTGACTTTAAAAGTCTTCCATGCAGAACAATGGAAAAGAAAGTAATATTTTTAGAATGCGAACAGATGTGCTCTCCATTAAACATGGTGATTCAGGGATTATTTTTTTGGAAGATAACTTTTTGTTTTCAGGGTTTCCACACAGCAGACTGAAGAATTATAGCATGAAAGCCGGTGGAGCTCTTCAGGGGCCTCGCCTTGTTCAGCTGTTGAACACGCAGGGGAGATGCTACAGAGGCTGCTTCAGCCCTTTTTGTGGCGAGTTTGGAAAAAGAAAGGAAGGGCCTCTGTAAGCATCACGAGGCCTGTCATGACACAGCCGAGAACCAGTGTAAATAACAGACTCCGTGAAAAACGAAACAAAACAAATCCAGAAGCAACAAGTAACACACACAGAAACAAAACACAAAAGAACAAAACTTGTGGAACACCAGGGAAATAACACTGCTCGTGGTCTGTGTAAAAACGTGTAGAATACAACTTATCACAGAGTGAGAGTTTCCAGTTTGTTCAATTTGGGGTGCGTGCGTGTGGGCGTATGTGCGTGTGTGTGTGTGTGTGTGTGTGTGTGTGTGTGTGTGTAAATTGAAGTTTCTTCTTTTTCTGTTTTTTAGAAGCATCAGTGGTTCTCACTAGCTTGTTGGCTCTTATTGTAATCTGATACACTGCCTTGTTCTGTCATATGAAGCCAGATTTGAAACAACAGTTGGGACACATTATTGAAAAACTACTACAGGCAAAGCACAAGTTGATTGTCTGTCTCCAACAATGCTTTTGATCATGAAATATCTGGTTCCGATTATTATCCTGAAAGGTAGAGCTTTATTGGAATGACTCTGAGTTCACTACGATCGAATGCAGGGAGGCCCAGTTGAACTTTCCAGAGATGATTGGGAAGCCCGGCGGGTTAGGGGCGTGAGTGTGGGATCCACCAACGATGACGGTGGGAACAATTTGTACCATCCGATTACCATACTGGACAGATCAAGTTCTTCCAATAAGATCTGGGCCACCCCCATAAAGCATTTATGGTCCATTCTTCCATAGTCACCCCAGACGATCACCTGCAGACAGAGAAAGGCAATAAACTTAAACTCCTCTCTAGAGTTGTACCTTAGGAGAGTTGAAAGCAACTATTCTGTAAAGGGGGCCAGTCAGCTAAGGAGAGGAAATGAATATAACCAACACCACGGAGGAGAACTAGGTAAGAAGATACTAACATGAAGGTGCTCAAAAAGACACTTCACAATATGTTTTAGATTCGATGGAAGGCAGGTAATGTTTTCCTAGTCAATGAGGGGTATTACATACATAAACCATGTTAAAGAAATACATATACAATTTCATTTACATATAAATTCAACACCTTTAGTAACCACTATCTAATAAGCAATGCACCTGACATTCAGCCAGTTCTGAATATTTGCTGGTCCCTGAACACTTCTGTTTTCCTTTCCTTTCTTCTTCATTGTGTCTCATGTCTGTAGATAATAATGCTCAATAAACTATTACTGGCATCATTTGCCATGATATCTATCTATCATCACCACTACATCTAGCTATCAAGATGAGGCAAGGGGTGACAAATAGGGCAAAAGTAGAGGAGTGGATAGAAAGAAGGAAGAAAAGAAGGTAGAGAAAAAAAGAAAAAGTTTAATTTTATTAAAGTTCATTAAACCCATATATATTTTAATACATTAATTTCACAGCAAACAGCAACTTGCTATTTTTTTCTACGGGAGAATGTTATACCACATTCCTCTCTACTGAACTTGAGTCTCTTCCTATTTGATCACCTCTTTGGTGTCTACATGGATAATGTGGATTTTCAATGTAAAAAGTCACATGAGCTATTACTCACCTGAAGAACTTTACCCTGTGGACTTTCATCAAACACCAGGGACTGTTGATACAAAGGATCAAGGGTTTTCCGTGCAATTCTTGTCTTCTTCTTGGCTATACAGGCCCCGTTTTCCAAAAGATATACCTTGACATATGGAGCTAAACAAAGGTAACATTAATGCATGAGAAGTTAATCCTTTACATTAAATTGGTTATATTAGAAAATGCCTTACTAGAGATTTAGAGATGCTTACGGAAAGTTTTCCATTGACTATTTAAATCTTTTACAATTTAAAGTGCTTCAGAAATTCTACTCCCTCACTCCCATATGTTATCACTACAGCCAGTTTCATAATTTCAAATAAATGTATGCAAGTTACCTTAAGACTGACTTACTTGGGGTACATCTGGAATTACAATTCAGGTTTATATCTTAAAGCTCATTGTTTCCTTGTATTACAACAAAACTTTTTCCTTTTGCATTTCTAAATGTACCAAAAAACTAATTGACATAAGCTAAGAAACAATCATAACTGAACTTTTCCTAATATGACAATATTATTCCTAATACTTTCTGACAGAATAATTGTGCAAAGATTCATTTTTATAGTCTCAAAGAACACAGAAAAGCTGCCTTTTTAATCAATCAGATGATAAAAAAAAACCAGCATATAAACTTCAATGCAGCAGGTGTTTTGAGTTTTTTGCCCGTGTGAGATTTTCTGGTCCAAACCCCTTCCCTTACCAGGTGTAGATTTGGAGCCAGGTTTTTGCGTGAGGCTTCGTGCTCTAATCACTTCAACTTCTAATTGGCCCTTTTTATCCTCCATTCCAATTTGTATATCGCCTGCAAGTGGAGGGGAAGCAAAACGTTTCAGCTTCTTTGAAGTTATGTGCAGTTAAAAAAACAGAGGTCTGTTAATAGGCTCCAAATTAGGATCTTTATGATCTTGATAAAAACAAAGATTTAGAACCCCCCCTCCTGGCCCTTCTCTCCCTACTTCCAAATCAGGTTTCAAAATGTTTCTCTTCATTTTTCAGGTACTAATCCATTTAAGAGAATCCCAGGTTAGGTTATAAATTGCTTAACAAAAATAATACTGAGGTATTTAAGTGATTCTTGTACTCTAATAAGATTTCTTATCCTTTATGTTATCTAGTATATAATACTTCTCAATAAAAAGCATAATCTATCTATATTTCCATTTAGAGAAATCACCATTATTGTTTTGGTGAATATCCTAGCAATCTCATAAGCACTTTCCTCTCTTCCTCCCATCCTTCCCTCCTTCCTTCTTACTTATCTATCTAGCTATTATGACCATACATCCTCCGTTTATTGACTGTATGGGCCACTAAATAGGCATGTCATTAACTATTTAACCAAATATAGGCTATCTGCATTGTTACCATTTTAATAAATAGCTCTAAAAAGAATTTTTGCATATGTTGTCAATGCTTCTTGATCATAAATTCTCAGATTTTAAATTACTGGGTCTAATTGAACGGACATTCAAAATTCCATGCATATTGCCAAATATCCTTCACAAAGGCTGTACCAGTTTGCACTATCACCAGAAGTATTATAGCCCACTAATAGTGGTATTAACAATATGTCTAATTTTTGCTAACCTGGTGGTTAAAAAGTTGTAATTTGCACTTTCCTGATTATTAGGAAGGCTGAACATATTTCTAAGTAATTTCAACTTGTTTTCCTTCTCTTATGTCTTGCTTGTCATATGCTTTACCCATTTTAAATAAGATATTCTTCTTTTTCTGATGGATATAATACTTTATCTCTGAAAATGTTAAATTTAATTATTTTGAAGTTATTTTTAGTTAGTTGAGTCATCTCCATTTTTCAGTTGTGAGTTCTATTTTCCAGGTCAGTTGTTCATTAGTTCTGTCACTCTGTTTTAGATCTCAGCTCTTGGAGGTCTCCTGGTCTTTTCATATAGACATAGTTTAATGAGTCAAAATGTTCTATAAGACGTCTGTTTTGTTTTATTAAAATGTATTTTTATTTATTTCAGAGAGGAAGGGAGAGAGAGGGGGAGAGAGAGGGAGAAAGAGAGAGAGAGAGAGAGAGAGAGAGAGAGAGAGAGAGAGAGAGAGAGAGACAAAAAAAAACATCAATGATGAGGGAGAATCATTGATCAGCAGCCTCCTGCACACCCCACACTGGGGACTGGGCCCACATGTGCCCTGACTGGGAATCAAACCCTGACCTTCTGGATCACAGATCCACAATTAACCACTGAGCCTCGCTGGCTGAGCTATAAGATGACTTTTATTAGTATAAAAGATTCCCATTCTCTCTGCTCTCTGTCAACTTCGTGTCTTCCAAGGGTCACTGCTTTCATAAGTCTCAATATTTTAATCTGATCTATTTCTCACTTTTTGGCATTTGCCTCCATATCTCTAAGTATTACACTTATAAGATATCATCCTAGTTTTTCAATTTTAGATATTATTATTGAATTCTAATTTCAAACTCTCTCACTTCTTTCCTATCCCCACCACATACTAGATACTTTCAGTCATCCCATTTTCCAGTATTAATATTTAGATTATTATGATTATGTAACATTGTTTATGGCGGAGTGAACTGGAATACTATGATTATTACTTCTCATTTCTTGGACAGCTCTTCCCCTTCCCTGCACTTAATAAGTATCTTTTTAGAAAGCATTTGCTTACGTTTTTATGTACATATCACTAATTCAACCTCACACACTCTCCTGAGTTGTTTACCTCGTCCATAAAATAAAATACAGTAGGTATTCTATAGATTTTAATCTTATGAAGTCTGACATGATACAATTTGAACAAATTGCTTTGAAGCTTACTACAGCTGTTATCTTTAGGTTTTCCTTCACTACCAACCGTTTCTCTCTGTGTTGAAACATTTATTTACTGGATCTCATCTTCTCATTTTAGTTCACAATTTTTAAAATTCACTTTATTCATTTCGTGGAAGTATAGTTCTCTGAGCAATGTTGGGTGTGAGAAAAATGTTTGGAGACCTTTATTGTCCTGAGTTTTTATTTAACCTTAAACTTAAACTTACTTGAAAACGTGGCTGGCTATAGTACTCTATGCTGGAAATCAATTGCTACTCAGAATTTTGAAGATAATGCTCAGTAGATGTCTAGCTCCCAGTGATATTGTTAAAGAGTCCAATGAAAAATCTGATTTTGATAGTTTTGCATAGAATTATCCTCTTCAGAAGATTTTCTGCTGGAGGACTTTCTGTTAATTTCTGGTGGTGTGAAATTCTATGATGATGTGCCTCTGCATCGACCTATTTTCCAGCCTTTTGTTGAGTGCTACATGGGTCCTTTCAAGCTGGAATCTCATGTCCTTCAGGAAACAGCTATGGCACATGCTACATATAATTTTCTCCATTCATTATCTTTCTTTTAACTTCATTTAGGGTGTATTAGCTAGTAGACATTTTCAATTTATTTGGCTTTGATTTGATCCTTTGGAAATTATTTCCACACCAAGATTTTAGAAACATTACATTAGTTTTCTAGTATCTTTCTCCACTCCTTATCTCTTTTTACATTTGAGTCTAAAATAATATATTTTTTTTCAACTTCTGAAGTAGGAAGGCAATTTATTTTTACATAATGAAACTTTTATGCTAACATTCTTTACTGAATAATCCATCATTTTTTTCCATGCTGTGAAATGCTACCCTTTATCCTACATTTGGATCTACTGTAGACTATTTTGACAGGGGTTTTCTGATAATTCAAAGATGTAGGACTATCTTCATTCACTTTGCATAATATCTCAAGTTGGAAAAATGCATGGGAAATTAGAACAGTCATTGGAAACCAGCAACACCCTAGCTGAAATGTTACTTTTCACTTGCATTACAATTATGCTACTTTAAATGACCTTGTCAACCATGAAATATCACTTTTTTTGTAGAAAAATGGATTCTTACCCATTGCAGGGGTGGCGAGGGTTTGGCGGCCAACAAGCTGGGCTGGTCCCAGCCCATCGAGAAAATCACTAAATTGACTGTCCGCTCCTAGTCTCACTCCAGGAAATATTAAGCTATTAGCAAAAGTACAAAAATCAAGACATTAGCTCTCCTAGAATTCCTGTCATAGTTTCCATTATACTACTAATACTGATCATGAATCATAAACACTGCTACAATCGGTTTACTTATTGATTGCATCACCTCTGCACCAAGAAGCATATGAGAGTCATCATTGATTGAGAAAAGATCTAAACTCTCAAATTAAGAGCAGATGTGGTAGTCAAGAGAGCTGTTATAGTTTTTAATATCTTACATTTTCTGGACACCTACAAGTAAAATTCCCTACCTAAATACTAGTATATCACTGACATAAAATATAAGATGCACATTTTTATATCATGAACTTTAAATAAATAATTGCTCATAAACATTGTGTAATATTAATGCTAAACTTAAAAAATACCTAATGATTTCTTAAATAAATATTATAGCATAATGCACATTCTTATTTACAAATAAAATGTTTAATTTATTCATTCTGAGTGAATTGCATTTCTATATTATCTGAGATTTTTATTTAGTTCAAATGGCAATGGATTGATTAAAATGTGTCTGTTTCTTACTACAGCATGACTGCCTGAATTTCCTGGGCTGTGGGCTCCACCAGAGCAGTGATTATGCTCTTCTTGTTTATTGATGTATCCTGGGTAACAAGAACCAGGCTTGTTAGGTGGCTGGACTGCAATGAGCATTTTTAAAATAAACAGATGTCCATAGGGATTTATTGCTCCCAATGTGCTTCCCCCGATACTATTTCTTCACAATCAAGGGAATTAAAAGTGTACATATGACCACCCATCCAGAGACTATGAAAAGAAATTTTTGAGATGCTAAGGGGCTTATCCATGATGGATGTAAATGTTATTTGATTTGTTAATTTTTATATAAAAAATGTCTCCAGTCTTGCATTTGGATATTGCTTTATAAGACTTCATCACATATTGGTGTTTTGTCAGCAAATTTACCTCCATAAATTTCATTCCTGCTGATTTTTTGGTCTTAGCTATGTCTTGCTGATAGCATGCATCCCAATAATTTGATCAAATAAGTTTTAGGAATGGGAAAGCATATTGCAAATATGAACTTGGCATACTTTTATTTCATTTTCTGAACAAAATAGAAAAATTCCAGTAAAATACAATAAAATATTAATATTAGGATTTGTAAATGAGTTATTTAAATGGTAATAAATGAATAACTATAAAAAATTTAACATGGTTAATCCCCAAGCAACCCACTGAAGAAGAATAATTACTAATTTGTAAGATCTGTCACCTCAGAAAAAATTCAGTTTTATCAGAAAAATTCTCAAGCATAGGAAAATGAAATAGTAAAAAACAAACCAGGTAAGCAAAAAAAAAAAAAAATTCTAGTTATATTTTGTCAAAATTAATTAATTTTGGAATTAACTAAAACTCTTTAATAAAACAATAACAAGGAAGATAGATCCTTGACTTTTATCTTAAGGGAAAAATGAGTTAGTAATGTTTTAAAAACACAAAAATATAAGTTGCTGTTATGAGAGTGTAAGAATATGAAAATTAGTTCCTCACTTATTTTTTCTTTTTATTTTCCTGATTTTCCTTTTTTATTGAATTTATTGGGGTGACACTGGTTAATAAAATTATATAGGTTTCAGGTGTGCAGTTATACAATACATATGTACATTGTGTTGTGTGTTCACTTCTCCAAGTCAAGTCTCCTTCCATCACCATTTATTCCCCTTATATCCTCTTCTACCTCTTCCTCCATTCCCCTTTCCCTCTGATAATCACCATACTGTTGTCTGTGTCTATGAGGTTTTTTTTGTTGTTGTTGTTGTTTGTTTTTGCTTAATTCCTTCAGGTTTTTCACCCAGCTCCACAGCCCGCCTCCTCTCTGACAGCTGTCAGTCTGTTCCTCACTTCTAAACTTTAATTCAGATTTTGGTAACCTGGCCAGACAATGAGTTTCCTATATGAAAGAATCCATTAAAGGTGACATTGCTACAATAAACATCCATGAGTGGACTATTCTGAACTTTTCTGAGTGATAGAAATCAGTTTATGTTAACCCAACATTGCATTATTCCTTTGAGGGTTCTGAATGACTAGGTCTGTGCAGAGGTATGTCTGTGTGTCTGTATCACAAGGTCAGGTGTTTTTAAATGGATGACTGACCAGCTAGTGGAGTGAAGAAGCTCAAAGTAACCCTGGGTGGCTGTGTTATCTTTCCTGTCACTACATGTCCATGGTCCTAAAGCCACACAGATGAGCCGAGTCACTTACTTCCCCTCGGAGCTGTAACTGTTGATGCTGCCATCCGTAGACTCTCGACTTGGTTGTCTGACCATCTTCCTCATTTCGGCTGCCATTCCCGTTTCTGTGCTTCTCTGGATGGTGCTTTTTAACTTCTTGTGGCCCGACTCTGGCAGGAGAGAGTGAAAGAAACTCTAAGTTTGGTTTGGGCAGTTTCCTGAATATCGACTCTGCAAATACAATAGTCCATTATGCGCATAGTTAAAAGTTAAACTCAGAAAAATAGTGTCTGACAGAATCATCTGATTGATTAAATCTTTTTGCAAAAGCGTGCTTTGGCCAAGAGGGGTAGCACCATTGCTCCGGTTTCAAGGACTGCCTGAATCTCAGCGAGCCAAAATGAACTCATTGTATTATTGCTGCCGAAGTTGTGAACTTCAATGAAAAAATGGATTTGGCATCAAATTGCTCTGTGGAAAGAGAATGCTGAAAACCTAATCTGGAATGCTCCAATGTGTGGGAACCGTCCTAAATGAGGGGCCATGTCCTTTAAAGGAGAAGAGGCACTTGGAAGAAAGCATGGAAAATACCACAGTTTGGGTACTGTAGCAGTCCTCGTAGAGAAACTTCAGTATTTTATTGGATGATTTTCGCAACACTTCAACAAACACAATCTCATTTAAGATGGCATGTATGTTGCTTATGTAGGTTGACTAGGTATTATCTAATTCCAAGGTTTCAAAGTTAACTCATGGCCCTTGGACTTTAGAGCAATGTCCTTGAGCCCCTGTTAGAATAATAGAATATTAAGCAACATTCTATTTACAGCATGGAAATGAAATTCTAGAACATTTATTTGATTAGGGCAATATCAAAAGGTTAGAGAAACTATTAGACTTTTAACACCTGCCATGCCTTTTTCATCTATACATCCCATAAGCATTTCTGGGTTTATTTCAATTTCTCTAAAGTATCATTAAATATCCATTAATAATATATGAAAAATGCTTTATATACATAGGCACATTCAGAAACTACATATATATGAATATACACATAAATTTTTCAATCTTCATAACACTTCTGTGAAGAGGTGCCTACACACTGTTAAATAAGCCATATGAAAAATTGCATGTTTTCCTCTGATGTTTTATCTTTGCACCCTTTTTCTAGATTGTCTACTAAAAGATATCATTGGTTATGTGATATGGGCTCAATATTGAATATTCTCTACAGGAGAACACAAGTGTGATTATGATACTTCCTTGCTCAAGTTCTTGTGATGGTTTATCATCGAAATAAAAAGAAAATCCAAACTTGTTTTCATTGCCTACAAAATGCTACCTAGGACCCGGTTACCTCTCAGATCTCACCCTCATCCCATGTGCACACTGCCTTTTGGTCACACTTCCTTCCTTGAATTTCTCATCCACTCCAAGCATATGTTTCAGGCCCAGTTTCCTTCCTGGCTGCCCCTGCTGACTTTTTTTGCCTTGCTCCCTCATCTTATTTGGGTCTCTGTTTCAATCCTCATCAATCTTTATCCTCTTGCCATGCTTCATATTTCTTCAGATCACTGCTCCATCTTCCAGTAAACCTCAATTTGTTTGTTGTCTGTTTCCCCAAATAGAACTTATTTCTATGAGAGAGAGACATATGAATATTGCTGACTGCTATCCCTAGTATGGAGAACAGTGGGATAAACTCAGTAACAGGATGATACCACAGTCCTAACATGCAATTTTCTCATTCCATTCAATATAATTATAATATAATACAAACACATCCCTGTTTATTGTTTTTAATGAGTGCACTGTTCCATCGTATGGCTATGTGGTATCATACTTAAACCATCTCTTTCTTGATGAGCATTTTCAGTTGTTAGAGAGTTTTTATAGAATACATTTCTAGACATTGAAAAGCTGGTCAAAGTGTAGGGATCTGTTTAATCTTAATAGCTATTTCTAAATTGTCCTTTAGAAACATTGCAGCAATTTGTACTCCTGCCAACATTTATGCAGATGTTCCCATTTAACCAGCAAAGGCATAGGAATTTTCTACATTTTCCCTTTCTGGTGTCTGTCTTGTTCATTGACTTGTTATTGTAGAATGTGTACACATACCAAGGCAGGGACTTCATTTACGGCCATTCTGAGTGCTGTATAGTTTCAGTATATTTATAAGTATCTAAATACTGTGCCTCCTTCTTAGATGTAGGTCCTTTGTGAAGTGACTGTGATAGAGCAACATGTCCTTCATGCACACACATTGGCCAGATCCCACCTGAGGAGTAGGGACAAGCCCCAAGGGTTTATTACCAATTGTGACAAAAGTTTCCAAGGCAGGATGAGGCAATACAGCTGGGGGGGGGGGGGGAGAGGGACCAGATTCTTTTATAATCATGGCTAGAGAAAGTATGGGCAAACTTTAAATCTAAATCTAAATAATAAGGTGATGTTGGAAACTGGAGGCGAAACAGTTAGGGGATCAGCAGTAAGGAGTTTCAGGTTAGAGTATACATTCCTTCAGATTTTCATCCATCCATCCAACCAACCAACCAACCAACCAACCCACCAACAAATATTTATGAAGCCCCTAATGTGTGTCACACAGTTCATACTGATAAATGACAAACTTCCTGCTATCCTGGAGCTTACATTCCACTGTGTGTATTTCTTGTGTGTACACCAGAAAGGGAATGAACAAATAAACAAATAATATCGCTGGTAATACCTGCTGTGTAAAACACGTTAGGCAGGAGATGGGGGATAGAGAGTGACCGGGTAAGAGTAGCAATGGGTTTTTTTTTAAAAAGGGGTCAGGGTCTCATTAAACACTCGACAGGGAAGTAACCCCACAGAGGAACTGATCCTGGTGATTGTGGTGGGGAGGCTGCACGGTGGTCAGGAGGGGCTGTTGTTTTGTCAGTAGCACACAGTCCTCCAGGTTTCTTCTGCAGTCTTTTCAATGCGGATGTTGGCTCTGTCCGCTCTGGGGACAGCTGGCAGTCCAGGGGACCGTGGAGGTAGGCTGTCAAGACCTGCTTTCTGTACATTTCCCAATACAGGTTTCACATGGTTGTCATTCATTACATATTTGTTTAATTAGTGAAAAGAAAAAAAAATTAAAAGTAAAGAGTCTGTTAATTTTTTGTTGCTTTTTTAATAAAAATTGGAATATCAAGTTTTCTTAAAGAAGGGTATATCTAAAGGGTACCCCAAAATCCTTAGAGCAGTTTTAAACCTTAATAGCTTCCAAAATGTAAATGCTGCACACTTTGAAAAGACATCATTTGAAAGGTTGGCTATTGACCTTCTTCTCATATTTAATTTTGTGAATCTGAATTACATATTTTTAATTTTAAAGTTGTTTTTTAGTCCGTCTGAAGATGGCAAACATAGACCAACTTAGTTCTTGGCCTTCTTCATGCTAATATTCAATGCAAAGAGCTTTGATGGACTGAACAATTTTATAAAGGCCCAGGTAAAAGCTGAATAAATAGTTCCAGCTATGAATCTGCCCCATTTAAATTCAAAGGGCTCTAATATTATTCAGAATGAAAGGGTTGGGAGGGACACTGTTTAATAGGTGTAGAAACTAGAGATTTTGTGAAGCATAATTCATGCAGAAAATTCTGTTCAGCACTTACACTGGGCCAGTCTTTTCTAGATGCTGGTGATGAAGCAGTGAACACAACAGACAAGCACCCCTGCCCACATGGAGCTTACATGCTGGTGAATATAATGACCTGCTCAACAACACAGTAGTTAGTAGCAGAAACTGCATTCGAAACCTGATTTTCTGAATCTTAGTCTTGTGATCACTCCATTATATCACAGTTTAGAAAAACACAAAATCTCATCTCACTTATTTTACAAATAGAATAGTTTAGCCACATGGATATTTTCATGTATACGTCCTCATATGGGCTTATAAGTTCATTTGAAAACTTTGTTGAAAATCATATATATTCTACATAAGTACAAATGTATATAATCACTGTATCTCTGCACATGCTATAATTATAGCATAAATATGTTACATACATGTATTATTTTTAATATCAATATAATGCATTAAACCATAAAATATTAGCAAATACTATTACGCTTATTAACAGCAGCACCATTCTTTAATAATTATTTGTAACCATTGAAGAATATTAACCTGATAAAGACATGAACTCTGCTACCAAATTATGAACATGAAACCTTTGACTTAAACCACTGTCCTAAGTATTATACAAAAAACCAAAGGATTAGAAAACTAGTATATGTTAAGATTCTATGTTCACAAACACATAAAATTTAGTACAATCCATAACATTTGGGGCAATATTTTACCCAGACTTAGGAAGAACAAACTTTCTCTCACTGAATATTCCCAAATGCCATGTTTACATAGGTACTTACACTCTCTTTTCATATTTAGAGATGTGTGTTATATTTAGAAACATCCTGCTGACTTATTCACTCTGTAAATACTCCTTAAGCACCAAGTACCTATAATCTAATAGACATCATTTTAGGGGTGGGAGCTACAACAGTAATCATACAGGATAGCACATATAATAAACAACTAAAACAAATAACATAATAATTTTAGATCTTGGTAATCATCATGGAAGGAAATAAAGCAGAAGAGACTGTCTCAGTAGAGTGAGTTACTTTTGATCAGCTGGGCATGGAAGGCCAAATCTGAGAATGCAGAGAAGGATTCAGCCATGCAAAAAACTGCAGGAAGGATGGTCCAGGCAGGAGCAGGTATAGGACCCTGAGGAGTGACTGTCCTTCCTGGCTTTTCTGAGAAAGCCATGAGAGGGTGACATAGGTGGATGATGAGAAGATGGAGCAGAAGAGGATGAAGGACTTGGTGGTGCAGGACCAGCAGGGAAACAGCCTGGATTTTTCACTGAGAGTGCTGGGAAGCACGGGG